AAATGTCCTCATATTTCCTTAGTTCAACCACACATTAGCAAACCAGATAAAACTTGCAAACTATGACTTTCTTCAAAATCTTTCAATTCATGGTGGAATGATCCTTAGAAAATAATCCATGTAAAACACCGAGAATAGTCGGAACTGCAAATGTTTTCATGATTATTGAGCATTGTTTTACAAAGTAACAACAATATACCATTTTGGATCTTCTTTCAAGGTTAATATCTACAAAACGAAACGAATTTAGCAAACGAACGAACGAACGTCCCAAGTACTTAAAAAAAAAACATCGACAATTATGCATCAGCCTTTTTTTTTGCTCATACCTTCACAGAGAAAATCTCTACAAGGGAGTACCAAGTACCTGATATCCCAAGAAAGACACCCATGACAATTATGCCCACATCAACAAACCCTCGTTTTGAGCTCATCTCATCCTTGAAAGTCATATAATGGAAAAGTGCAGGCAAAACGAAGCCCAACACACAACACGTGCTGCTACCGACTAAAGACAAAAAATCGGCGAAATTCGGGACGAACAATGCAACTAAGCTCACACCAAGCACAAGCATCCATCTCATCCACAGGCAATACTTTCCCTCCCAAAACCTCCTCTCGAAAACCTCATAAACAGGGTTCATCATCAGTGGGAATGTGAAGAACAAATTTATACACAGGCCCAGCTGAACTAAAGTACTCAAAAGACCTTTCCCCATATTTGCTGTGATGATATCCTTTGTATTCTCGCCGAATGCTAAGTAACCCATTAACCCGAAACTACCATACATTGCTGCAATGAAAAGCATTGTGAGAGCAAGAATCTTCCCGAATTTGGACCTGTTTTTCATCTCCGATTCGAGGGGTAAAGCCATTCCAATTCCCTCGAATGAGTATATTGCCACACCCAAGCCATAAAAAAACGTGGAAAGTGTTCCGAATGCCTCGATTATCGGAATTTGCTTCGTGAATATGATGATATCCTCAACCATAACTACTCCCATTGCTCCCAAGTCGATTATATCGGCAAAAATGCTGAGAGGGGCTAAGAGTGTGAGGGAAGGGATGGAGTTCAAGCCCAATTGGAAAGGGAAACATGCCCAGATGTAAATGGTCTTGGCTGAGAAGCCCAAGATTCTTGTTGGGCTTGGACCTGAGGAGGAGGAGGAGATGAAAAGGCTGGCGAGGGTGTTGCCGATGAAGATGAGGTAGCCGATGCAGAAGCCCGCCTGGGAGAGGACGATCATGGAGTCGACGGCGAATCTGCCGGTGGGCCCGCAGACGGCGAAGCCCAGGTCGCCGAAGGATGAGATCTTTGGGAAGGCGCAGGTTGGGGAGTCCTCGAGGCGGCGGCGGGTGCGGATGAGGAGCATCATGCAGTGGTAGGTGAGGGCGGCGACGAGGGAGACGGTGGCGAGGCTGGTCAGCCAGCCGCACCGCATGAACGTGTAAGGGAGGCCGAGGACGCCGGCGCCGACTATGGCGATGAAGACGTTGGCGAAGGTCTTGGGCTGGGAGGAGAGGGCGTGGGGCCCGCCGGCTCCGGCGGTGCCGGAGAGAAGAGGGGTGTGCTCGCTCGGTTGCCGGGAATTCGGGGACGAACCGGCGGCGCCTTTTCGCTTTTCGAACACCATTTTTTATGGATTAATTCGGCTATCGCCGGCGAGTGAAGAAATTTACAGATCTGAAAGGAGCCCTTTCAAAAATCGTGGATTATGTAGGATTAATTGAAAATCTGAAACTCAGCCTGGGTGATCGTTGATGATGGATAACCTTAAAAAAAAACAGAGTGAGAAGTGGAAAATGGTGGTGTTAGGGTTGGAGATGATGAAAACAGATTGGACCTTGAAATTATTATTATGTGAAAAAATGGGGGAAGTTTGAAGTTTTCTTTTTGCTATATGAAGATGATGATGAGGAGAGTTAGGAGATGGTGGCTTTAAAAACAAACTGAAAATTGACCATAAAAAGTGGCCCACGTTTTTTCAGGTGAGAGTGAGTGTGTGTGCAAGCTGAGTATTTTAATTATTGTACATCACAACAATTTGTGACACGCGCACACGAGACTGATCATCATGTAACCGTCATGAATAGTTGATCTAACCGTTTACGGAAAGAGACAGTATAATTTTCTATTATTAATAACATCCTTGTATTACACGGGTGCTTGTTAAAAAATTATTCTTATATTCTAAAATTAATGAGAAAACTATATTAAATTTAGTTTACTTCTTTACAAAAAAAAAATAAAAATATATTATTATATATTTTAGAATGATATGTATTACTTATAACTTAAATGTGTTATATTATATTAGTTTTTATCACTTATATCACATAACTACTTGAAATATAAATATATGAGTTGATAAATAATTTTATTTTTCTAATTAATATTAAGAATAATTTTATTATTGTTATAAAGATAAATGTAAATTATTTTTTTATACATACAATATGGATGTTAAATCGAAGCTCATCAAAAGAAAATTAATTTGATATATTACATACGTAAAACTGATAAAATTATAATTCAAAAGTTATTAACTTCTAAAATATATATACAATTCAATTGTTATAATAAGGAATGGTATTAAAATTCAATTAATACATGTAACATGACCATAAATAATTAACATATTTATGGTAATTCGAACCTAATTATTTTTTGTTTGGAATTAAATTAAAATTTATCAAAGCCTAATAAAGAAGCATGTAATTTTGCCACACATGATTCCGAAGCACCAGAAACAGCCACATAGGCGCGTTCTGGATAGATTAATATATAGGGGAATAGGGGGAACTAGTACAACACCCGTGTATTACACGGGTGCTTGCTATTTTTTCTAAATTTAAAATTAATGAGAAAAAGTAAATTTGAAAATTTAAATACCTTTGATAAGAATATATATATTATTATATATTTATTATGACAATTTTTAATTGTGCGACTTACATGTGTTATATTATACTAATTTTTTTAACTTACAATATATAACTACATTAAATATAAATATATCTCTCTAATGAATTTTAATAAATATTATTATTTTTTATTATTTTAAAGATAAATATAATTTATTTATTTCATATATACAATATGGATGTCAAATCGAAGATCATCAAAAGATGATTAATTTGATATGTTATATATGTAAAATCGATAA